ATTAATAATTAGTCTATACCTATAAATAAATTGTAAATATAAAACATACATTAGCACCTAAATTATGTTAAAGATAACAATACATGGATAATATAATATGAAAATATTTAAACTTCTGAAGAAATTTTTGTATTATATTATAATGGTTCTTATTATTAAAGGTCACCAAAGGATAATAAGATAAAATAGATAATGTTCTTGCAATAAATGTTGATGTTAAATAAATTTACTCTTATCTTAATACAAACACTACAATATTAAATATGTTTAACGTAAATTTGCTATATTGAATACTTGTATGATCCATAAAGAAAAAAACAAATAGAATGTTAATAATTTTTTTAACAACATTATTAGGTTGATTATAAAAAGTATCAATTGTACCATTGTAAAAATATATGAGTTTGAATTAAATCAAAATATTTATTACTAATTTTGTATTCGTATTCTATGGTTATTTAGTATTTTTTTCTTTTTGACAAATAATTATGTTATTACCATTTTATTTTTGACATAAATATATTTTCAAAAATCATTATTCAATATTATAGAATAAGGGTGGTAGTTAATATTAAATGTATTAATATGAAACTTCTGTTAGTTGATATCAAACTGTTTGAAAAAATCGAATCATTATGTAATTATGAAACTAAATATTTGATAATGGATTTAAATAATTTACTTATATGCATATTTATTTGTAAAAAAAGAACCATATTCTATCTTGAAAACACCGAAACATTAGCTTTTGGAATTCGTTATAATCAACACCATTTTCCCGTTGTAAAATCTTAACTCTGAATGTAATTTTCTCTTGTAATCATTTCCTATGAAATGTTTTTAGAATTTATTAGAAATTCATAAAAATAAAATAAAATACGTTTCATATTGTTTCATAATACATTATAATTTGTTCCATAAAAATGTATATGAAATATAATAACGCATAATATTCTTGTATAGAATATTTCATTATTATTATAATGCAGTTTTATATCTTAACTTAGACAGAAAAATATAAAACGTATGTGTTTTCACACCATTCATAATATAAAAGAATCTTTATTAATTTTCACATAAATAAATAAAAGAATATTTTATTAAATATTAATAAAGCAATTTTTTTTTTTTTTGAAACAAACTAATACAATAACATCAACAATTTGTGATGATTTTAATCATTATTCAACAGTTCGTCGTAAATTTATTTTTTTGAAACCGTAAAATCTTATTACATTCAACCATTATAATTTTTATCTGGAACGCTTATTTTTTGAATATTTTAAATGCTTTCAACATTAATTATTGTTTAAACATTGACAACAGTGTAGAAAGATGTAAATATCATAAATAATATATATTTATTAGCATATCAATATCTGATAAAATTATGGCAATTGACTATCAAAAATTATATTACAAGGTAATTTTTTAAGTCTATAATATTATCAAAGTAGAAAAAACTAACTTTATCTATAAATACTGGTATTTATATAAATATATATATATATATTAATTTACTATAGTATACTATGAACTTAACTTCATATTACTAAAATTATTAGTGAAAAAAGATTTAAATATAAACCTATTTTCTTAGATTTTCCAATACATTAATTGTATATATCAATAAATTAATAACTATTATAATGAATTGTTTATGGATTTTTAATGTGGTTTTATTTTATCGAGAAAATGATAATTCATTGGGTTTAAATCTCAATAATTGACAATAAATTCAAACTTATTATTTACTTTATCGATAGCATCTTCATAAAATGATATATTAAAAAAATAAATCTAAATCTAAATATATATATATATATTCATTAGTTAAACATTTATTTATTTATTAAATGTTTTTAAGGCATGAATGGGAATTTTAAAATATCACTTGATAATACTTCTATATGATCATTTATAACCCAGTCCCTTTCTTATCTACTAAGCTTTATAGATTAAATTTATACCTATATGGTTTATATAAAATCGATGGCTATAAATGTTGCCATCAAAACAACTAAAGATAACACATTGGAAATTATATTTACCTATCTTATAACTTACGTATTATTTCTTAATGTTACCTTTGTGTTCTGTAAACAACTTTTCAATTAACAAAGACATATATAAATCAAAGTAAGTAGAATCTATAAAAAACTAAAACATTGTACTTATAATCTTATTTTAGTTTATTAATGGGAAAAAACTTATTATTAAATTAATATTCAAATCAATTAATAAATCAATACCAAAGGTAAGTTAAATTTCTAATAAAATCAAAAATATAATATATTAGTAAACTTAGATCAAAAAACAAAAATCAAAAAATATTACAATAAGAAAGTTTTTTCATATAGTTTATATATGATGTTAAATGGAATGGGTAAGTCGTGTAAAATATGTATAAAACTGTAATAATGTAAAAAGTGGTAAAATGAAGCGAAAAATTATTTACCTAACCTAACTACAATACCGAAACTTTCCCTCATTATAAACATTGAATTTTCCACCAGTTGCGTGCATTTCCATTATTATATTTTATTCAAAAAGCGGAAAGTAGGTAACCTTTTTGCTGTTCACTAGAAGTCGAGTACATTCTACCGTTGAGTATGATTTGAATTTAACGATACATCATTGAATATGAAAAACAATTCTAAGAGGACGCGGACTGAATATTTGTTACCTATATTATTTAATAATTATAAAATATATCCATAAATTTATAATTATATTAATTATCATGATAATATTTATTTTACTATGTTTTTAAAAATAAACTATAAACATACAACACTTTAAAATTAAAGCTTTTTCAAAAAGAGAAAAAAATCTTATCAACATATTATATAATATGTATTTATTTTGATTACATATGCTATATATACTCTACGATAAATAAAAGCGTGTTTCCAATTAAATTATCAATAAACCGTTTCGATATTACATTAAAGTATAATAGTTAAAAGACGGTATCTTAGTTGAAGTTTTGATAATTTTTCATAATTTGTTAGGTACATTAAATGGAACAGGATGTGATTTGAACTGTAATGGGAAGATTATAAGTTTTATGTATAGAATGAGTAAGATTATTTGGAAATCTAATATTGATTTACACATAATGAGTCAAATGCTTATAATAAATAATTTCTAATTAATATAAACAAGAAGTATACGCTACAACCGTAATAACATCTAACATATTTATTAGATTAAAATAATGAGAAACATCACATCAATTATAATAACGTAAATTAGTAATTTAGTACTTATACTTAAAGATTATTAATGTAAAAGAACAAAATTTATGAATACTTAAGGACTTTTTGAGTTTCATAGAAATATGAAGTGAAGAGCGATATTAAAAATATTTAAATTTTCTACGAGAAATACATATAACTACAGAATACCAATGATATCTATTATAATTACTTTAAAAAAAAGTCTTAAAGATAGTGTATACAAAGAAATTCGAAATTTACGTTTAGAATTTATATGTTTGAAAACAGGAAAACAGAGTTGAGAATTAATGTTTGAGAATCTATATAATTTAAACTATCAGACACAGATCACAATTGATATATCCAAATATAGTTATTAACTAATTAAAAATAATTTTTAACTTGACTAATTAAATCAATTATTAATTTAATTACTTTAGAAGTTTTAGTTGATTAAAAAATAATTAAGTTAAAATTATAATGATAGTGTACATAATATATTTTGTTTTAAATAGGTATATTATACATGGGTTATTTGTTTATTGACACTGAATAGTTTAAATAAAAATAGATAATTAAATGGTCTTTGACATTTAGTGTTTTATTTAGTAGTATCATAAATAAAAATTCAAATTTTTTTCAAGCTTTAATAACATAGTAATTATCAAATGTACAACAAGCAACAAACGCGTTAAAATATCTAATAAATAATAATAGATATTTTTAAATAAATAAAAAATAGTAATATAGAATTCAACTAAAATAGAGACTATATTGAGCAATAATGATTTGACTAACTTTTTGTTGATGGATTTCTAAAAGTGTTAAGGTTGATATAAAATATTTAGATTTCGTAAACATTTTTTCTACTTTATAGTGAGAGTGTAATAGAAAAGAGGTGGTGGAAGTATAAGAGTAACAAAACACTTTAAATGCAGCATTTACCTAGTTTTAATAAACATTAGTGATTTTAACTATTTTATACAAAATAAGGAGTTAATTACGTTTATGAATACGGAACTTGAAATCGTAATACTAATAATTGCTAAAGAAGGTAAATATATTTGTTTAAACTGTATATATTATTTACTTATTTTAATAATGATATATGAGTATAGTTGAAGTTTAGTCAAAAAGGGTTGAAACCTAACAAAACGATAGGTAGGTACGCAAAAAGTCGTGCGCAATAGTCAATGTAATGTATTCTAAATAATTATCAAGATTTGTAAAAAAAAAAAATGGATGTTAGTATAAATAAATGTATAATTAGTCACAGTGTAGGTTAGAATAAGTGTTTTTTTTTTTTTTTTATTCAATTAAAAAATTGTAAATGTTCGTTGTTTAATTTGAGTTGTAAGACAATTTTTAAACTAACATTTAGTTTTCACCAACATTTAGGAAATATTATTCAGTAGCTAACGTAATCAATCATTATTTTACTAAATTAATTCAGCCACTACAAAAACAACGGACTAATCAAATAAAATACAAACTTGTATTGTAACGCGAGACGTGCCTGTATTACACAAAACTATAACTCGTGAGATAGATTCATTTCAGCAATGTATAGATAACACGTATGTGTGCATGCAGTAAATTTTGAACACCAATAATATTATGGTTTATCGTTAATAATTATTGAAAACGCTATGTGTATGCGTATCACACGGCAGTGTAGAATTTCCGAAAAAATTTCGGAAAAAAAATAAATTTCAAAAAAATTCCGAAAGAAAAAATAATAATAATAATAATAATAATATTGTGACAAGCCCCAATTACCTGTTTCGAGAAACGCGGCGCGTGTGACGAGTGTATAAATGTTACGAGCACGTGTATGTGGAGAAAATAAATTTACAAAAGCTGTTAACGTGGCTTCGGTAATTTACAACTTTAACCCCGCGGTCAAAAATATTTTTTTTTATAGCCGGGCGCGTAACGGTATTAATATATATTTCATAAATATATGTACGCAGTCGCTTAGAGTTGTAACGTCGACGACGGCATGGTGAAACGTGAGAGGTTCGTAACCGACCACCGAAAGCACACTACTGAAATGTGTGTGTACGTCAAACACGGCCCATACGCTTACGGTTACGCTCTTCCGCTCTTCAACCCCATAACACCACCCAAGCACTCACACTAGCCGCGGCGGCCGTCCGGAGGAGTCTCGTGACAAGCGGATAGAGTTAGTATGAACGACGGAAACGACGACAGTGCTGCCATTTTGGTCCATCGTCGAAGTCTTAAAATACTGAATTTTTTATCGTACGGCGGCTGTGCAAATTCGTGCGGAGTACTTCACGCAAATTATTCACGCGTAAACACTAACCTTCGGCCGATGACCACGATGGTTTGCTGTAGACCCAAAATTATGGACTTTTTACGTCCAAACTCTGCTCCCCGACCGCCAAAGATTTTCTTGAACTATTTTTTTTTTTTAACTCGCCGTACTTTTACTTGGATGTGAACGGCAAAACTAAAAAAAGTGCATACTAATAAATAAATAAAAAAAAAACAACCGTAAAATATCCAAACACTACTGTGAACGTACACAGCTATAATCGACCCAATGAGATCAACATAAAGTGCAGAAAATTTAAAATTACTCAAAACAAATACGATTTAAATTTATATTTTTTTATATAATCTAAAAAAATCTCATGGGTTTTATGTTTATTTTTCCACTTTATTTCTTAAATGCCGTGTGAATGTTATCAATACTGCAATAAATTTACAATAATTGTTTTTCACTTTTTAATTATTATTACCGGTACTTTATGTGCTACCTATAAAAATACACACACACACATATATATATATATATATATATTAGCTTATTATAAATTGTAATTAATACATTTTTTTCTAACCAACAAAATACTATATGTAGTAGAACTCACATTTGATATCATTCATACTGTTTGCAGTTAATCACAATTCCAAAATTAATTGTATTGTTACTAAATTTTAATTTTACGCGTACCCACACACGTCACTTGTACATAAAAAGTGTGTACACTGTACATGGGCAACGAAATTATTTGAATTTTTGTGTTGAAATAAAATAACTACGAACACACACACACAATAATGTGAAGTAGTTTTTGGTTCAAAGGCTAGTGAGAGTGAATGGATAAGTACGAGGATACGGTTGACATATTTTGTTTCAAGCATTTTCGTGATTTGATACGGTCATGTGTTATAATGAATAAACACACTTTTAATATTAGTCAGATGACCGATTTTAAAATATATATAAATATTATTTATAGTACAGTATACCTATGTAATTCAAAAATGTTGTCAAAATTTATTATTCAACTACTCTATTGTAAAAATGTCTTATTTTAAAACTAAATTATGTAATAATGTTTATATTTAATAATGCGAAATTATACTGTAAATATTTTTAAATTTATGATTTTAATGATTGAAATTACTACTCTTTCATAATATCGAACATGCTATTTGAATTTTTTATGATTAATCAATATAAGATATTTGAGGTTTTTTTATAACTAAAATTTAAATCAACTTAACATTTACCATTATATTATTTACTACAATAATTCCTAATATAAATTATTACTCTATAAGAAACGCATGTAAAAAAAAACTTTATATTTTATAAATATCGATTTTTAAGGACCTATCTAAGCTATAAAACACTTCATAATAAATACATACGGTATATTTTATTTTATTACATATTAACGTGAACAAAGTTATTTATATAATGTTTAATTAATGCGTGTTTGAACACATTTTGCATAATTGAATTGTTACGTCTAAATAATAATATAATACACATTACATGAAATAATTTAACAACTATTAAAATGTATGTTGATGGTTATTAATTATTTATACTATAATACATAAATAAATACGCATGTAAATACTATAATATATATATATATATATATATATATATATATATATATATATTACATACATATTTTATATAATTATACATAAATATAATGTATTACCTAGCAGTTCTCATTGTACCTATATAAAAATAAGCAACAAAATAAAATATAAATATATACTTGTCTATAGTCTATACTTATCATAAAATAACCATTTTTATTTTTAAATAAAAATAGAATAATTTGTTAACTATTTATATCTTATTTAAAGGATGAACACATTTCTATTGAGAGCTATGTAACAGTATACCATTATGATTAATATTTTGTTGGTTTTATAAATTGTAATTTATTTATAAAAATTAAAAGGCTTTCATAACTTGTAAGTCGTAAAAAAAATTATTAATAACTGAACAGAATAATGAATAATCTAAATATAGTAATGTGCACAATAAACTGTATATACATGAAAACTAATAAAATACAATTGATCATTTTACATATTTATCATGTTACAAGAAAAAAAATTCTTATCTTCAGTCAGTTTTACTTAAAAATATCAAATAATATAGAGTGAATTTAATAACAACAGATACTTCTCAAGTTATATACAAGTGGTAAAAACTAAAATTTAGTTAGTTTGTTTATGTGTAACTCACAGCCGATAAAAAAAGATTTCTGTGAGTGTTCAAAACTGGTAAAATAAAAAAATAAATATAGTTATGAAGAGTAAAAAGTATGTGCACGCAATACAAAATATATTATTACACAGTATAAATTGAATTTACTACATTATACTTACTATAATATATTAATATGTAATAACGAAAAATTAAGAGAATAAAATTATGGTGAAAATAAAGTTTTATAAGATAGCTATTACCTTCCTTCTGATCTTCGAAGGTTTCTCGAGATCGTGTCTCATAAAAATGATCAAGTACACCATTACGTAAATATTTTAATATAAATAAACTATAATAGTAATAAGTAGTATTTTAGCTATGCACCTTACCAGATTCGCAGCAATTAATATGTAATTTTATGTCCTTTGGAAACAGGTAAGGTAACAATATTCAAGGAACAACTTAAGGCACACTTAAATTCAAATAAGAAAAAACATTTTTAGTTTAGCTTATTGAAAAGAAAGAAATCCAGTTGTCGCTCGCAGAATCTTGTATGGAGAGCTCTTGCTCAAGAAATAGGTGCACATGCACTTGATTGTTTAGCTGGTGCTCATGCACGGATGAGAGAAGACGACGTGGTCAAACCGGCCAAAGTTACAAGCAGCTTCATTAAAGATCTCCGGTTTTCTAAAGGAATCGGCTTTCTCCTAGGCGACAGAAACCCTCATTATGCCATTCCTTGTTTTTGTAGCACACGAAATAGATCACACGTATTGCCCTAAATTGTCATAACTACATGTGAGTTCTTAAGTGACCAAATAATATAAATCGTTCCTTTTATCAGTGATTAATAGTGTCTAAAGGGTTTTAACGATTATCTATGAGCGACAACTTCACCGTTATTTATTTTATCGAATAGCTAAGCTTAAGCAATATTACAATCATGATATGTGAGCATATCATTACAAATATTTACGCATGACATCCGTCTACTATTAATAGAAAAACTGTTTTTTCTATAAATTCTTAAAATATTTTGATTTTTCGTATACAATGATATGTATATACCATCGAATTTAAATTCAGTGCAATATTCATCACAATTACTTCTATAAGACGAAAATAATATTATGATGTATTACGTAATACTCTATGTGCTTTCATTATCCGATATTATATTATATTATAGCAGAGCGACTTTCCCGGTCAATTTAAGAATATTTCTTCACTCTAATAATTCTGCTATGTGGTGATTACTATGTCGTGTTGCCCAGAAATTAAGTCTCAAAGGTTGTTTAGTCGTCAGCAGTTAGGAAGAACTGGGTGAACATATTATTCAATGACCACTGTTAGTTGTATATTGCTATAATGTAGGTATATAATATGTAGCACGTCGGTGCTATTAAATAGCATATCCAGTGCGCCGAATTACTTTTGAATATTGTACAACGTAAAAAATATTTTCGTTAGTCATTCGTAAATCATAGTAACATTGAAATAATAAAATATACGTTAGTAAAATTTAATAAGTTTAATGATTTAAAAACAATAGGTTCGGAACGATTGAATGGATGATATTATAACATTGATATTCGTCCCCACTAAAATAACATTGACCGTTTCTGACTAGGCTAATTTCTATCAATTACTCAAAACTTAATTTAAATTAATTTTACCACAGATATAGTTAGATATTAATGATTTTAATTTCCATGCAGTGTATTATGTGCCTATATTAATACAAACTAAGTTTAAAAGGTACCTCGAAATTTACATATTTTGTAAGGCAATATGATAATATACGGCGATAACCGTCGATATAATAGCAATATTATATATATATAATTTAAGTAAACAGTTTTCTTTAATAATTGCGTGATTTTATAAAAACTATTATTTAATAATACATTTATTTGACAAATATTTATAACTATTTAATTTTAAAATTGTTTAATAAGATCAGATATTTGATTGTTAAAAACAATAATTTCCTTAATGATATATTTTTATAAATTATAACTTATAATTTATAAGTTATAACTATAATAATATATACCTACTATAATAATTACTATTTCAACCCAGGTTTTGGGGCGTATGATTTTCAACATAAATTAAAGCTACTCCAAAACTAACAAATTAATATTCAAATTTAATTTAATATTATAACGATAAAATATAATTTATATTTATTAATAAAAATGCTTAATCTAAGATATTTTAGAACCAACAGTTATCATATTGTAGTTTTGTTGATGTAATAAAACTTTAAATTTTTCCAATCTTAATGAAAACATCGTATAGTTTATCAAATACGCATAAACATTATATGATATATCTATGTATAATTAGTGGTGTCTCACTGAGGTTTATGATAATTTATAGTAAAAATAAGAAAAACAGCAACTAATAATTTTAAACATGTTTTGTGTATGTTGGATTTTAGTTAACAAAATTATATTCTATTTTATAAAGTTTTCATGTTCTTAATACAACTAAAGCAGTAAAATATTATTACAGTCTTT